GAGAAAGAAAGCAAAACGCCTTCTTGTAGGAGCGAAGCAAGAAAGATCAATACTGTTTATTAATCCATTCATTTAAAAGGGCTGGCTGGGAGAGGTTTGTAAATACAAGAAGTCTTGCCCTCAGAGGCATGACTAATTGAAAAGCTCCAATAATGGGGCCGCGTCACGTGCCGTACCACCAGCGTGGACTTGCCTTCCCTGAAAAATGTTTTTAATTCTTTCCTGTGGCACCGATACTTTCTCACTGCTACTGCGTGCAATTTATTATGTACAGGGGTAGAGGAGGAGGAAAAAAACAAAACAACAACCACCTACTTTTGTTTTTAGAATTGGAAGCAGGGAGGAGATTGGCTCTATAAATTCGGAGGAGGCACCGATGAGGACAGATGGGCCGACAGGGCGAAGCCAGGACAGGGATGAACCAGTGAGGCCACCAGGGCAGTGAAAGAGGGTTCAAGTGAGAGTGATCTTCCCAGTGAGCTAGAGGGGGTTCACAAAACACTCAGGAACAGGGACAGGTAGCGCTGGGATTCCTGCTACCCCACCTACACGATAAGCATCTTCAGTACAGCTTATTGCAGGTAGAACCTCACAGCAGTGATGTGCCAACCTGTCCTGAAGGGATCTGGACTGATACCTATATCTGACGGAAGAGTGTGCCTATTCTCCTGCTCCCTCTTAAGGGCTACAGCTAACATTCCTAACAGCCACATGTTGACCCTTGTGGATAGAGGCGCCAAACTGGAAGGCAATGCCATAAGGCGATGCTTGTACCAGGCTGAGGCCCGGAAGGGATGCCGAGGTTCAGACGGTCACCAGCATAGGCAGAGTGAGATGGCAAGATCCCAGCCAGGGCCAACCGGAAAAGCAGATAAGATTCCCTACTGCACAGCAGCAAGATATTTCACCTTTTATGCACTGCAGGCTTCTTTAGGAGCCAACACTTGATGCTGGAGAATTCAGGCTTCTCCCGTAAGGCGGCACAGGCAGATTTGAGAATTTAAGATAACACAGCTGCTGTCTGGCTTCACCAGCAAAATCTATACAAGATGCCACAGGCTCGCAGAAGCTGAAACTGACCTGTCCATGTGCACACGCGGTTCGCCATTCCTGCTAACGCACAAGGGAATAAACAGGACCTGCAGAAACAGCACAGTCTCCCCAGCCTGCTGTCCACCAGCAGGCAGAGGGGTTAAGGCCTGAACACAGTAAGGGGACAGAGGGCAAGACGGTGAGCCGCCAATATCCAAAGCTCACATGCCTGAGAGCACAGCGGACAAAAGATTTCACACCAGGGCTTGGAAGCAGCCGATCCCCCCCACTGCACCGACTGCAGGAGCGCATGCCAAAAAAAAAAAAGGGAGAGGTGGGAAAGAAAACACATGGAAGCACACCGGCACAAACGTTTTCCAACAGGAAAGCATTAGATCAGATTTGTCGCCAGCCTCATGTCTACAGGAATGGACCGAGGATTAAAACCGTCAGGCCCCAGCAGTTCCGTAACTGGGTCATCGATAAAATTCGCACAAAAGGCTATTTACACTGTCGAGCCAAGTGCAGGCTAGAGCTGTACAAGTGTACCCAGTTGATAAACAAGGGCAGAAAGATTGAGCTGGTCTTCTTCTGGTTGGAAAGGCCACAGTGTCACCTAGTGGAGAAAGACGGTAATAAATTCTGAAGACCAAGAGGAAAGGGATATCTGTGGCATGACTTGTTCTCTATAGATTTGTGCCCTTTCAGTGCAGCAGCATTTTTAACAATTTGTTCAACAGTGCAGCTCTGAAGCTATTGCAGAGAAGGCTAATTAATTCAGCTTTGATTGTTGTGCCATAGCTTTCCTGGTTACGTTTCATATTCATGAAGAAATTAAATGCTTTACTGACCACTTAACTAATAAAACGGAGATTAAAAGCTTTTCAGTTCAAAGTACAATCAAATGTGCAACTAAACTGAAGTTTTGGACAAGGGCCTGAAGATAACCAGGAGACAACTTCGAACCTTGCAACAAACACATAAAACACAGAAATCTAAATCGGAAACGGAAAGGTACGAGGACAGGGACAGTGTAGCTCCTACACGGCAGGTCAGCAAGCGGACACTAGGGACCGAGAGACTGACCTCCCGGGCCACGAGGAGCTCGTAACCTCCCTCTCGTTATCTCAGGTTCGCCATGTGAGAAGGATGTGGTAAGGCAGAGAGACTGGAGGACTGCCTTCAGTATGCTGTCACAGAGGCTGAGAAAGATTTGCGTTTTCCAAATTGAAGGGCTTACGAAACCCGACAGATAAGCTATTCTGGGCAAGCTCAGAAAAAAGACGGTGCTCTGCTGCATCAGGAGGCTATTTTTAAAAACCTGCACGGGCACCGTGTTGTAAATCTGCTTAACATCACGAACACAAACGGAAGCAATTCCATTCTCTTGAAGCTAAGAAAAGGCTCTTTTGTTTCAGCTCCTATTACTTGTATCTACACATTCCAGCCCCTGCCCCCCACACCCACAGGACTCGAGCAAGTGAAAACGGTGTGAGGAGGTCTTCTGAAGGAAGAGTGCACCGCAGCCCTCAAGACGGCTGTATCACAACAACCACGCACTAACAATACCCAAGGGGCCGCAACACAAAAACAGCCACTGAACTGAAGATATAAAAAGACAAGGGATTTTTTTTTTTTTGTTACCTTGCGGTTTCATATCCTACTGCATCAAGTACGGAGAAATACCTTGACAGACTTGGTCTGCAATCTTTCCCCATGAAAAAGAACACTGCAGGCCAGAGCAGTCACAAAGTGGAGTCTATTAAGGTACTAATTGATGGCTGACAGTAAGGAGGGCGTGAAGTTCTGAGAAAGTGACTAGCACATGGCCAGTGCCTCTGCCACCACAGTAGAACAGACTCCACGCACACACTGCAGCACTGCCGTCGTGCCTGACCCGGAGCGTTTAAAACAAGCATACTCAGCGTTTGTCACCCCCAGACCTAGCGTCAACCTAAACGCAAAATCTCACATGAAATGTGGACGAAAACACCAGGCTGTCCCCTGCTGTGCAAACAGCTGGACAGAAGTCACCCACCATCCCAGCCATGGCTGCCTTCCTCACCCTGCCTGGTCTAAACTAGCCTATGCCTCTGTATCCCACTTCCTTAATCCCACAGTGACTTCTCGAAATAAACCGTTAAACTCTCCGACATAAAAAAACGCACCGCAGACAGACCAGCTACGCGAACGGCTCTTTAACTGTGACCCTTGATTGATATAACTCTGGCTCTGATTGATGTCTACGGGCAGTAGCAAACTAATAAGATTGATTGACAGGGACTGATTAGTTCATTCAAGCTTTTTTTATTTATCAGGGGACCACAATTGCCACAGCAGACGGCATGAAGTATGAGCTCACTGCAAAACTGAACACTCAGGTTTGTCAGCTATGCCTTCACAATCTTACACAGACCGACGGTTTGTAAAAACTCACTAGTTTGTTCTGGAAGCCCGCTTTAACAGCGATGCATAATCTAACTTATCACCGCCTAAGACAAAAAGACTAAGTGTGAGTCATAGCTCTTCACTTCTGCCGAAACCCAAGCTGTTAAACTTTCAGGAAAGAGGGTCTGTTTGTGCAACGGCTGATGTTTCACTTCTTTCAGTAAATTTACCCAGGAAAATTGCCGAAATACTTGCCTTGCTTAATTGAGCGTCTAAACCCAGGGACTTGTTCGTGCGTGGAGGTTATTTTGTGATGAAAGGACCTCATTTTTAAATCTAATCAGGGCTACTGAGCTTTCATCTGTCAGCTTTTCCTCTGCCAAGAGTCATTTTTCTCCCTGCCTTTCGCAAGAGCATTGAAATGTGCATCATCAATTACACTATCCTGTCTTATTAACCACAGGAAGCAGAAGGGTTTTTTTTGTTGTTTTTGAGTCTTAAAGAGATTTTGTGGGTGGGAAAATAAAGAGCTTGTTCAGATTACCGTCTTAAAATATTATTCCGAGCTCCGATTCAGTGAAATCAGTTTATAACGTATACAGCACATAAGCCCAACCTTTCCGATTTTTTCCCTGAGGTCTGAAAACTCCTCCAAAGACGCATGCATACTGAACTGCTTTTTGTACTCTAAAAGGCTCCCCAGCATTGCCAAAAGCTACATCACTTCAAGAAGAGCGCCATGCAGCAGGATTCTGGAGCCCCTCGTGCGTCTGCTGAGCAGGAAGCAGGACAAAAGAATCCGACATCCAGGGAAGAATGAGCTCAAAGGAAATGGGGAGCAACCCATCCCAGCATTCCTACAAGGCCCTACTGAAAGGGGCAGATCCGAACAGCTTTCCTACATTAAATTCTTCATCACTGGCTCGGACACCAAGGGCAGCCTATGAACAGGGCTTACTTTCACGTGGCAGAGCCTGGATTCTCCAGCTTGCTCCTGCTCCTACTTTCACGAAACCGCTGAAGAGAGAACGCACTTCACCACTCCAAGGGCAATCAGGAAAGACACTTACCAGCCGCGCAGTTTGTAGGCTTCAGGGATGTCTGGGTTCAACATCATCGTGCTGCTGAAGAGAACGGACAGGGAGCGACCCCCAAAATCCGACAGTCGGGCCCCCTTGATGGCCACAACGGGCTGCCCTGAGCCATCAAACTTCTCCGCCTGGCAGAGAGGAGAGAGAGAGAAGGCGTTACTGCTTCACATTTACAAACTTTACATTACTGGCCAGCTCTTCTATCTACAGCTACAAAATCCATAGACCCGAATTTGGAATTATATTGGTGCTTAACTGCTAATATAACAGCTAAACCTAAAAAGCAGCCTGTGTTGCAACCACACACTCCAAGGGTGACATGTAGAGGCCAGAATGCAACTCCTGCTGCACAGCAGTGTGATCCATGTCAGGTTTTGTGAGCTGCAGGATGTTGTACTTAACATGTCGATGAAGTGGAAATTAACATCCGATATTGTTCATGTTGCATCCTGTGTGCTTGTACAAACTGTTTCGTAAAAAAGGCAATTGAAGCCTACAGCTCACAATACAACCTGGTGTAGGCCACCACCCATATCCCCCTACCTCCTCGCCCCAGATCGTGGCTGTGACCATCTTCCCGGACATGTCCATCAGATTGATGGTCCTCTTTGACACTTCGCGGTTCGCCTTTGTGGTAATCTTGGACACTTCGTCAAAGCTCTTGCAGATCCCAATCACATCTGCGGAAGGGAGGAGGAGAAGAATTAACAGAGCATCTTCAGCGGCATTTTTTTAAAAAAAGCTTTGCCTTTCTTTGTGATCAATGCACCACCACACCTACTCAATAATCCTACCAGACAACCTGAGAAGCGAGCCTGTATTAACCAGTCAACGGTACAACCAATATACAGCTTCAAGAAAGTTTGTGAACCCTTTGGAATCACCTGGATTTCTGCATTACTCATAAAAATGTGGTCTGATCTTCAACTAAGTCACAATCATAGACAAACACAATCTGCCTAAACTAAACACAAAAAAACCCACTTCTTGTCAGTACTGAACACGTTGTTTAAGCATTCAGTCTCGGATGGAAAACGTATGTGAACTGGTTTGGTGGGGGTTCTACCAGTTACATTTCCTGTAGATGCTGAGACTTGAACAACAGTTAGGAGAAATTTTAGACCATTCCTCCTTACCAAACTGTTTCAGTTCATTGACATTTCTGGGGTCCCGCATGCGGCCCCTAGGTGTCGCAGTCCACAGACGAGGTACAGGCGCTCCAGACTGATCCCTTACCGACCACAACGTCCTTCTCCTTGTTCTCCAGCTCCGCTATGGGGATGAACTCGAACTGCATCAGGGGCACATCCTCTGCGTCCTCACAGGGAATGATGGCCGTCTCGTTGTTCAGGGTCATCTCATAATCGTTCTTCAGGGAGGTGTACTGCTTGTTGGCGATCTTCAGACTGCCTTTCGAAATGTAGTACACCTGCTTGGCAAAAACCCAGAAGTTGGGGTTGTGGGGGCTTAGCAATTATGATGCCACCTTGCAGTGTTCAGATTTTCATCCGTTTATCAGTAAAAATTGAACGTAACCAGCTTTGAATCAGAAATAAAAAAAGTAAAGGTAACAGATGCAAATTTCTATGCTGCTGTAAAATACATTCCAGAGATGCAAAACAATTTTTGCATTTGGACCGTTCAGCTCCGTCTCCCATTGTCAAGGGACCACAAGAAAGTCCGGAAAGCGTGTCGGATCAGCCTCACCTTGCCGACCTCGATCAGGGAGTAGAACTTGTCCACCTGCTCGTTGAACCCGGTGACTCGGATTTCTCCCTGGGCAAAGACAAAAAGCAGAACAGTGAGCACTCCAAATCCCAGATCTCTCATGTTTTCCCCTTCCTCGATCACAGAGATATGGGAAGCATCCTGCACCAAAAATGTTACTTTCACCACTCACTTTGGTAAGCATGCTTTTTAAAAAAAAAAAATCTTCTCCTCTTCAAATTAAAAGAGGGGGTACTCGAGTACATCTACCCATCCGACTCTCGCCCCGCGAAAAACTTCGATACTGATTCAGCAATCCCTCCCACAGCCCCGCGCCGCCAGGAGAGGCCTCTTACACTCTCGTCCACGATCTCCATGGAGAAGAGCTTGCCGTCGCCGCGGGAGTTGCTCCAGGTTCGAATGGCGCTCTTGTTGGTGATGCGTGCCCGGATTGTCCACCTGCAGAGGAGCCAAACGACGTGCAAAACTTAAAAACCACACACTTTCGTTCCAGCCTGGTGCCTCACAGAAACTCCACACACAAAGGATGTTCAATCCCCAGACTTTTTGGAGGTTGCCTTTCAATTACAGTGTTCTGCAAGTAACTTTAGAAAAAATAAATATTTGTAAAGATTCCTATGTAAAGCAGCTTCTTAATTCAATTAAGGCTTCAATTATATAAAGAAATGAACTGGAATGGACGGTTTTCTGTGCACACCTGCTGGTTTTGAGATAGCCGTGTCTCAACACTGCAACAAGATGTATTTGCTATGCTTGATGTCGGCACCTGGTGCCGCTGTCTCAGCAATCACTAACAGAAGAGAAACTGTCCCTTCCAGCTGTTTTGTAAATCAACTGAACTGCTTTCGTCTAATAACCAAGCTCAGTGTTTAAGGAAAACCGAGCAGTGAAATCAGGTAAAAATTTACTTTGTGTGAGTGGGAACCTTAAACTTTAGATCTAGAGAGATGTGTGTGTATTTATTGCGTCTGGCTGGCCTGCGGTATGGAGCAGCAGTCAGGATTCTGGACTCTGAGGCTGTAGGCTCAGCTCCCAGGTGAGACACTGCTTTTGTAACCGTGAGCAAGGAGATCCACTCAGACTGCTTCAGTAAAACACCCAGCTGGATAAATGGGTACAAATATAAGTCGCTCTGGCTAAAAGCATCACCCAAATTCATTAGGAAGTGCACGGCCAGCACGTCTGCAAGGTTTCTACCTCTGCAACGCAGCAGCTGCACCTGAAGATCTGAAAGGAGCTGGCCAACTGGTCCAATTAAGCCACTAACCAGCTGGTTTCGCTTAAGAGCCGATATGGAATGGAAAACTGCGCATACACAGGCCCTCTGGGACCAGGACTGGACGACTGGACAGCCCAGGCGCGGCAACAGCAGCCCCGGCCAGTGCGTTCGGCTAATCAAACCCCCGTTCTTTTCCGAGCTCACCAATGTGTGACGGCACCGGAGCTATAAATAGCAAGGCAAGGCAGGCTGCAGCAGCCTCGTCTCGAAGCAGCTGTTCCAACCTGAATTAACATTTTGATTTAAAGCCCGGCTCGGGACACCGAAGCTGAAGGATCGCCACGGTCAATCAGGCTGCGCTTTACCCCTGTGGCACACAATGGCTGCAATCGGCATCTTTGAACTTTCTCCCCTTCCCCCTTCCAATTAAAAGTTAGAGGCTGCAGCCATTAAATGAAACTGAAGTGCAGCTCTTAACTGCTATGCAGGCACTGTTGTGTGCTGCCCCAGAGGTAAACCACCTCCACACTACATTTAAATTGAATCAGTCTTTAAACACTATGTGTAGATTACCTGTGTAATGCAATTATATTTTAATCAGCTAACAAAATTACGCTGGCTTAGATTTTGAATTTCAGCGCAACAATTTAATTTCTTCATTTAACCTTCATGTAAAAGGAAAACCAAGGTTTGTACAACCAGCTCTTACTGCCTCCACACACTTTAATTAGGCTAACAGAAAATACTGATACATAAAACCTTCCAAAGTTTCCAAAATGTGAAACCACAGCATGCATTACTAGTGCACATTTATCATTTACTGGGGGTGCATTATCTCAACCTTTATGAGTCCCAAACAGGAAAGTGAGATTCTGCATAGAAGCGCAACATGACAATATATATGCAAATGTGGAATGAGACTAGATCTGTGTACGTCCAGGTGGAAAATCTGCAAACAAGCAGAATGGTCTCTTATGCTAAGCAACAGAGCGCACATCACTCTGTGGACAACTACGCTTATCCAGCTCCTGAATGCTGGCGGGGCAACTTGGCTCCAAATTAAAATGTTTGCTGGGGTTTGTGGGTCAATGGCTCTGCCCCCCCCCCACTGATCTGGGCACAGGGACTTACTTGGACTGGTAGGGGTTGAGGCTGGCAATGGGAACCACTTTGGAGGTGCCACCAGGAGTATTGGGGGCAACCGGCATCGCCTTCTTCCCAAAATCTCTGCTGGGGACCCTGTTCATAGTTGCTGTTGGTGGGGGGGGACAAGAAACATGCAAATTAAAAATGAATCATTACCAAATTAAAAACAACAAAACAAAGATTCAACACACTCAAACCCCCCCACTGGTACCCTAAGTCATGTTTCAGACACAACGTGCAGACTGAAGCAATACACAAAGGCAATTTTGTTTGAGAGATTTGTTCTTAAGTCTCAGGGGTTAAACACTCTAAACCTAGAACACTCATCCTTCCAGTGATGCCAACTGCACGACTGTCAGACTTTGTTCCGACTACCTCTGCACGTTTGAGTGCGACTCACACTGAGGATTACACATCAAAGTGCATGGTAAGTGCTTCCAGTTTGCCAGCTACTGTATTATCTTTAATTAAGCCCACAGCTGCTACATAGGACACCCCTTAGTTCACTAGAACAGTCGCTAGAGACACCCCAAAGCTATCCATGAATATCTGAATTAATTTAATCAGACATGTCAAAATAAATCACAGGGTAATAAATCACAGAAGATAAACTAACGTTATAACAAAACCATTTTACAGCCTCATTGCAGAAGGTCTGTGGAGAGGATGATTTGAGAACAGCTTGTGAGCGTCTACTGCCCTCTGCTGGAACCTCACTGCATTTTCATCCCCTCCCCAGGTCTGCAGCCCAAACAACTTCCAGCAAAGGAAAAACTGTTAATGCTTATGAAAAGGTCGGTCTACACAGCATCCATTTATGAGAAGGGTTAAGGAAACTTGGAAGGGTTCACAACACAAGTGCCGGGCTCAGGAGATCTATTAAATGTGGGAGGGATAGGAAAAGGAGGAAACAATTTCAGATCCTCCGGACTAGTTTAGAAACACCACGAGACCAGAGGTGGCTCTGAAAAGACATGGGTCACGTCGCTCCAGCAAGAGGCTGGGCACTCGCTTACCTGCGGGACCGGTGCCGTTCTGCGGGACAGGCCGGGCAGGAGGGTGGGAGACGGGGACCTGCTGGGGCTTCGCCTGACCTGCATGATGGGAGACAAACCCAGAACGCTGCTGAACTCTCGCCGACGGGCACCAGCGACACCAGGCCTGCGCGCGCGTGCAGGAGGAAATGTACAGCTAACAGATGGGCACTCTGGCTTCTGCAGGCAAGGGCAGACTGTGCCAGCATTGTCCATATTCAACAGAAACAGGACAGTTCCAGCTTGATCTTGAGTGGGGGGGAGCCTCTTTTATAAAAGCATTAGAAGTCGAGCCAAGAAAACCAGGCAACAGGCTGTTTAAAGAGTAGGGGTGTTAGCCTGGCGTCCTGGCCAAATTCCCCCTGGTCTTTACCCATCATGGCCTCCTAATAATCCCCATCTCTAAACTGGCTTCATCACTCTGCTCTCCTCCCCACTGAGAGCTGGTGTGTGGGGAGAGTACTGGTGCATCATCCAGGTGGGGCTGCACACTGGTGGTGGTGGAGGGGATCCCCATTACCTGTAAAGCGCTTTGAGTGGAGTGTCCAGAAAAGCACTATATAAGTGTAAGGAATTATTTAGGACTTCTTAAATTGCCATCTTTTTACAGAACATCCTGGATTCCTACTGCGACACGCAACACACGCTGCACGCGTCTCATTCCTTACCTTCTCCGTAAGGGACCGGGTCCCCAATCTTCCCGCCCACGTCGGACGCCGACTTCAGAACCTCCACGTCGACGATGATCACCACACGCCTGGGCGCCCCAAGAGTCAGAAAACAGAGCAACTGCTTAGGACCGCCCGCGCTTGCAGCCCGGAGGAGACAGCTCCCACCCAGCGCCAAGCTTTCAGGTTCTCATTGTGGCCCGAAAGCTGAGCTCCTCAAACCCCACCTCAACAAGAGTTCATAAACCTGGGGGACGAATGCACTCCTAGCAGGGCTTGGACTTCACTGTACTTCAAGACCAACAATGACAGAAGTGCTCCTGTCCTTCTCTCTCTGTCTTTGCACCGGCAGGAATCTTTTACGTCTGGGCATGCCAGGCTCCCCGGGGGTGGGGGCAGGCGGCACGACTCACCTGCCATCCTTCAGGGTGTTGTGGACGTTCCTCTTGATCTGGCAGATGCAGTTCGAAGACACGGTGTTCTGCTCCACCAGGTGGTTCAGCTGCGTGGCCAGCATGAAGGCTGTGCCAAGGAGGAAGATTTCGGGGTGAAAAAAAAAAAAACATGCACAGTGATGCCCTGGGCTCCAGGGAGCAGGAGCTGGACGAGGAGTTTGAGGCGGCCGATGACGCATGAGCTTTTCAACAGACCTGTGCAGCAGCCCCAGGGAGCCCTCAACTACACCGCCTCCCTGTAGTTTCAAACCCAAATGTCAGACCCTTCACTTGTCACGATTAAAAAATGTGCAAGTACCAGTTATAAATCATTTAACAATACTCCAGCTAACAGGGCTCTCTTTGACACCTGACGTCTGGAAGACACAGAGAGGAGAGGAGAGAACACTTCTCACACAACCAGAACTTGCAGAAGCAAAACAACCAGGACCAAAGGAAAGTGGAGCAGAGCACAGCGAGACTGGGTCCATCTCTGCCATTCAAACCGACTCGGGATCAACTAGGAAAAGCTCCTAAAATTTCCCCAAGCTAAAAAATTCTGAATTTATTACATGTAAAATCAAGTTTACGACCTTAAACCATAATCTTCTCCAGAGCTTAATGAGCAAAGACTTGAGCAGCCACCAAGACTTAAGCACCACAATAAGGAGCAATACAACTATCAAAAGGACTTAAATTCAAAGGCAGATGCAAGATGCTTCCCCGCCAGCAGGACACACTGCTTGTTCCCCGTCTTTAAGAAGAAAGAGACGTATTTCAGAGGACCGACAGTCTCCTGAGGTTCCAATCTAAACCCAACCGATGGGAGCCGACTGCTGCCCGGCTGAAACAGGCCCAATACCGCTGCTGCTGTACTCACAGGACATGGTGTGCACCCCGTCGCTCATCATCATCCGGAACCGGACCGGCCCGGCGCTGCTCTCGATGCGCCGGATGTTCTGGTTGGGAGGGGGGAGGGGACACAGGTCAGATCTCAGCGATGCTGCAACAAGGGCAAACAGATCTCTGATCTCGGATCAGATGGGTCCGTACTCACCACCACCTGCAGGACCATGTTGGGCACGTCGCTGCCCTTGGTCAGAGCCTGGGGGGACAGAGAGTGAGGAGGGGGGGTCAGCCAGGCCTGGCAGTGTGTATCAAATATCAAACCCGAGATACAGATGAACTGAAACTGGAATTATGAATGCACAGCTACACAATTCTATCCCTCTTCCTTAATCATAAAAAACTTCCTTACTTTGAATGCATATAGCCCAGTTAGAATGAACTAAGATGTAAAGCATTAAGAGAACAGACAAGAACATACACAGATGAAAAATTCGTTTATGTGTATATTTGCACATGTCTATTATAAAATGATGCCTGCGGCACGTCGTCAGTACCTGTACAAATATCAAGCCCGTCCTCAGACAGGCTGGGTGCCGGTCTCGGCCAGCTGAAGTCCCAGTAACCACTGACTGACGTCTGAGAGCTAACGAGCTCCTGCCAGTGTAGGACTTGCGGTGGGAAATTAAAACACTCAGCCTACAGACAGCTACAGCAACGACCCCAGACCCCGAGCCGTTCGCCTACAGTTCTGGAAGCAGTGTTTCGCTCTGGCCAACATGCAATGCAAGCAGGTGTTTGTTTTGTTACAGAATGGCGTTTATCAAGCTTGCACTTTATTTAACGGGTGCTCCCGGAGGTCATGGCTGTTGTGAGCCGTGGAGCGGTTTTATTAATCCAGCGCCGGCGCGAAGGCCCGCGACACGGCTCGGAGACCAGCTACACGCCCGATTCGCAGGAGCAGGGCTCTGCTTGCACCGCTTAGAAAGAGTCAAAAACAACTGGGGGTGTTACATCACCGACGAAACCCAGTAAAGCAATTCACTGCGATCGATATTGAGCGACTAGGAAAAAATATTTATCAAGTGCGACATCAGAAAGAACTCTCCGCTAGTGTGGATAATAACTACAAACTACTGCATCCACCCCCGAAAATCACCTACCTCAATGGCTCCTTCGGTAAGTTTGACAGTCATAGCGAGCAAAAGAAATCAGATTTTAACCAAAAAAAACTCTCTTTGAAAACTCAAAGACGGGTGAATACGCCTCTCTCCTCTGC